AAAAAAAAAAAAAAGAAAAAAGAAATACCCAGATATGTAATCTTAATTTATAACAAAGAATATTATTTAGATTTTTTTTTCTAGTATGGGAATAAATGAGGTAAGAAATAGAGAGGGGAGGTGAGAAAGCGAAAAAGGACATCCCAAAGAGCGAAAGTCAAATTTCTGCAAAAAGGAAAGCCAAGAATATAAAATGTGCCCTGCTGGGATTCTAGATAGAAGACCAGGATAGAAAAAATACCCTGCTGGGAAACCCCTGGTTTAAGAAAGGCAAATTGAAAATTGAACATGGGTTTATCTTCACTCCCTCTACAAGCTCCACTGAAATTGCCGAAAAATAGAAAATAAATTAAAAATAGTAGAAATAAAAACAGGTGAAGAGGCAAGAAATGATAACAGAGGTCAACAAATTTTGACCAACTGACCTAGCCAAGGAGGGGAAGTTTAAATCCAGAGGCTATAAAAGAAGATAGAGACCACAAGAGGCCAATTCACTACGTACTGTTTACTTAAAAAGTAGATGGCAACTCCATTCCTGTGCACACAGCAGAGGCTGGTAGTTTCTTGAAAGTAGGTAGTACTATCTTGGAAAAATAAGTATCTAATCTGGCCTCAATTTCCTGCTGTCTCAAGTTTAGTTCATTAGTTTGTCAATAGCTCTCCAGTGAGTTCGATGGAAGTCCCAGCCAACACTGTTCAAAGTTGAAAGAAATAAAGCTGGCCACGAGGCCTGTGTAGGACTTCGGGGTTGTTTAACATTCTGTGCAACTCCTAGGAACACAGGAACCCTGGCTAACTCTCATTCAATTCCATAGCACATAGCATTTCTCATTCAATGGAGATTGATTCAGATATGTTTAAGCTACAGCCTTTCCTCATCTTTAGAAGATTTACTTGTTGGCTCAGCACCTATAGCTCAGCAGCTAGGGTGCTAGCAACACATACTGGAGCTAGCAGGTTCAAATCCAGCCCGGGCCTACTAAATAACCATGCCAACTGCAGCCAAAAACTAGTCGGGCATTGTGGTGGGCACCTGTAGTCCCAGCTACTCGGGAAGCTGAGACACGAGAATCACTTAAGCTCAAGACCTTGAGGTTGCTGTGAGCTGTGACGCCACGGCACCCTACCCAGGGCAACATAATAAGACTCTGTCTAAAAAAAAAAGATTTATTTTTTACCTATGTCAAGAAAATCTCTCAAAATACTAGAGAAACAAAAAGACACATCTCAACAACAATAAAAAACAAAATACTATATAACATATGTATTCAGCAGGTTCTTGATAAGTCAAAAGTATCTAAGTCCAAAGTGAACACATGACAATTATAACTGATGGAAGGTAATAAATAAAAGTCCTCTTTTCCCTGCACTTGTCTCCCTTCCTCATGATAGAGTGACAGGCCCGACACACTTATGTTTGTGCCTAAACTTGTGCCCGATCCACTCTCTGCTGCTTTTTCTTGATGCACCTTTACTGCTGAGACTCACTGACTCTTCTCTCCTTTTAGTTAAAGGCATAAAATTCACTTCTTTTATATAGGATATAAAAATCAGTCATTTGGGAACAATAACTATTAGTAAGCACAGTACAGTAAAATCTAAATAAAATTAAGTAATAGATTGGCCCAGTTTTTGTTCTAGGTACCCATCCATATAATATACTTAAATGATCTCGGTGATATCTAAATGAAATTGGGCTAAGAAAAGAAAGGAAATCTAAGCATAAGCTAAGATGCATTAGCATAATTCTTTTCAGATTCCCAATTCTCATATATCCCTGCATATCATAATAATTTCCTTAACATGGTGAAAGTTTAGGTGTTTGAGAAAAATATCCAGGATTTAATCAATTGTTAGCAATTGTGAATCATAAGTAATTTTAAATTCTAAGCTAATAATACCCACAACCCTTCAATAAATAAGAACCAAAAACAAATTACTTAAGGTTTTTGTTTGTTCGTTTTTAGCTTTCATACATATTAATGTAGTGTAGGGGAAAGAAATACCTATCTTCATTATAAAGAAAGGAAAATTATAATACAAAAACACTACCCAAGATTTCATTTGGGTATGTCACTCTGTATATAAAAAAATAATCAATGTAATAGTAGAATACACCCCCAAATGTAAAGGTGTTTCTTTTTAATTTTTCTTTTTATTTCAGCTCTAGTGAATCCCACATCCATTGGAGATGGCTGCAAAGAAGTAATTATCACTCGTTAAATATTAGTTGCTTATTCATTAGGATTACCATGAATAAAATAAAAAATGAGTAACATCAAAATATCTGTTTAATGTTAGCAAACCCAGAACCTAGTCTCTTGCTTAAATGAATGAATAAATAAACTGAAAGCAAGCAATTTAGGAAAATTTCTTCCTACATTCTTTTCACTTTAAGGAAACAAAATAAGATATCTTCCACCACCAGGGAAAAGAACAATCATGAAGAATGTGAATTTAATAAAGAATCTAGAATTGAGAATTTAATTCTTTAAATGTCTCTTTGAATTTTTATCCTTTCTTAAAAGTAGACAGTTATATAATTTAGTACAAATAGGTTGGTATTTGCAGTATATGCCAATATGGACTAAAGAAATTAGTCTTCACTTAAATGTTGTTATAATTAGTACTTACCCATTGCCAAGGACTCCCTTTGGCTGAGTCACTAGTATGGCTCCTATAGTCACATTCAGAATACTCCCCAATTCTCCAGTCTGTTGAGCAGTGATGACTTGGTGAGCCAAATTCTGTAATTTGTTACTGGACAAGGATGGAATCATTACAGTGCTGCTTACTGTTGGCAAATCACCAATTTCAATCACAATCACTTTTGAGATAGGTTCCATAGTGGTTGGTGGTGGGACCCCATATGAGGGCATTTCCATCATGAGAGGTCTACGTTGACCAACTCTTCTATAATGACTGGCACAAGTCACAGATGGGCAATTCCGCTTTCTTTTTGCTGTACTGTCAGCAATGGCCTTTAGGGTGTCTTCATTGCCAAGCATCTCCTGAACAAATCTGATTTGGTGTTGGCCAATCTGTAAGAAGCTGGTTAGTCTTTCAAGTATCATTCTTTCCCAGTCTTTTCCTAAGACTGAAAATGTCACAGTGAGAGCTAAATGAATAGAAATACCTGAGCGTATTTCAATGGGCTCTCCTCCTTGCAGGACAACATACAAGAGGTTGTCCATGACGTTGAAATAGTTGACACCAATAGATTCATTTAGCAAAGAGGAAGTTGATTGAGCCAGACTGGGTGGAATAAAACTTTCCCTCAGGAAAACACGGGGGCTCTGGAGCTCATGGTAGAATATAGCCAAGAGAAGTTTAGAAGTGCTTTCATTGCCCAAGAGAAAGAAACGCAGAACTTGAGGAGTTCGATCTGCAAAGCAGACTTTGGTGATTTGCCTGGTTGGTAAAATGGAATAGAAAGTTGACCCAGACCTGAAGATAGAACAGGAAGTATTGGCATTTACCCCACTAAAGGTGTCAACAAAACCACCAGTCACAGAAACAACTGGATATAACTTCTGGATTGTCCACATGGCGTCAGCATTATCAAGAACTAGGACCACGTGGTCAGTCTGTTTGCAGATGTAGCCATGTACCAGCGATCGGTACGTGCATTTCTGTTCTTCTCTAAATGTACCTATAAAGTAAAGGAGAATAAACAAGTGACAGAGGAGTCCCGATCTTTAAAACAATGATGATTTATAATCCACCATTCTCATCATCATTTGTAACCCCATAAAATATTTACTAAACATCTAATTGTGCTACAATTACTAATTGAGTATAAAGAAGTTTTGGGTAAAAGAACAAAAGATATGTGCATAAATAATAAGCATTTAATATTTTTTAAATGGATATGTTATATAATATGTGCTATTAAAGTTAGTAATGGCAATAATATCTAAGTAAGAAAAAGAATTGAATAAATAAAAGAATTAAGACAAAAAGAATATAATAGAAACTCTGTAAGTTGACCACCCAAGGGACTATAATAAACTGGCCAACATACAAGGTGGTCAACATAAGGAATGAGGACACTGTACTGATATGTACATGTGGTGTCTGTCAGTTCTAAAACTAGGTCACATTCAGGAGGTGGTCAATGTAGGGGGGTGATCAACTATGGACTTCTACTATAATCACTAAGGGCTTCTGAGGGAAAACAAACTACACTGGTTTTTTTTACTAGTCTTACACAATACAACACATGATACTTCATCTTTGTTCACCAAAACATGTGTGTTTCTCATTACCAAGAACTAATTCTCCATTGGACACTAACTGGGTGTTATAAAATTTAATTCAGTTTTGACCTTATCTAC